AGCCACACAGCGACACCAAAGAAGGACACTTTAATAGTCGAACTTTCTTTCCTAAAATGACCCGCGTGGGACAACTTCCTTCACGTAAATGCTATTTGACGCTGGAAGAAGCTGGTGAAACCCAGGAACGTATGTCTGTTCCGAGGCCGCGAAATGGCTGTTACTGGCACATATTTGATAAGATGAAAACAAGATCGCTGCCGGAAAATATTTATGCTAACTAAGCATGCGAATTTCACACTTGTGAATAGCAAAGCTGATTACCTGCTTGGGGATTTAGTGGTATGTTGTAATGTGATGGAATGTATCTCAGAAAAAAACCCCTTTTGATTAGGCAATTGAGAGTATTATTAATAATCAGACAATTTCCGAACTTAAGAGCAAATAATGCATTCATAAAGACGGTATAATGGGCACGAACAAACGGTTTTAAGGAAATTCAAGAATAAAGCTCTACCCGCTTGTCGATATCATTGTGCTGGAGCTGGACGAAGCGAGCGCTGATGGCCGCTATGTAGCTTTGTTGATTGGAGAAAGCAACACGGCCTGCTCCCTTAGGGTACTTCAGCTCCGGGTCGATGTCAATGCCTGCGTAGCAGACGCCGCCATACAACCGATCCATGATTAGGGCCAACTCAACTAAACGCAAAACGTTTAGCAAAAGTTCGGTAGTGCGATAGAAGCCCTTAAGCACGCCGGATTAATAAGTTTACTCAAAGACTAAGCACACTAACAAGCAAATCACACTGGCAGAATTTACCCCTTTTGTTTTTTCACAAGAGTATGATCCTTGCAAAATCACTGTACCTTGACTCACCGTAGCACTTGAGTATTGATGGCTCGTATTGGAATTCGTTCTTCAGGATAAGTATACGATGGCAAAAACATCTACTTAAAGAGCTCTGCAAGTAGCTTAACGGTATTGTTTGATAATCCATTAGATTATTAAAAAAGTGTATGAAATGTTTAATAGTCCGAAATGGTACAAATCATAGCAGATAATAACGTGATGGATAGCACCAGATTCAAAAAGCCTCTTAATATAGCGAAAAATCATGTGGCTGAAACCTACCGACTTCGACCCATGGATAATGCTAAAGCGGAGAACAGTCTGATAACTAACATATCGTCTAAATTGCTCAACGCAGGTAATTCACCCTTGAATGAATGAATGGATGAGCATTCACACGACGAAAGACGCTACTGCACAAACCTTTAACAGCGAAACTAACCACATGAAGCCGCTGAAGCTAAAATGTGAGAACACGTTTGGAGTGTCACCCCAAGTGAAGAAGTGCCAACAACCTGCAGTGACAATTTAAGCCAGTTTCCGGAGCCACAAGGCCAAGTAATACACCAAAAGGGCTTGCACATTATAGTCATGAGCGGCTTAAGTACAATCTTCGTATTTACCCAAACCAGACCAGGGTGATAAAAACACCGATGGTCTCCAAAGTGTGAAAGTTTCGATGAGCTAGAAAGTGTGCAACATATGATATGGGCAATGAGTAGCGTCAACAGTGCGAATGTGGCTTAAGGGTATCAGAAGTTACCACACCATGGGCTCCAAATGTAGACGCAGCAACTGAATTACTCCAACTGCAAAATGGCATACCAATAGATACCACGACGTAAGTTGTATGGTTCTCTTAATGAACAACAATGCCGTTTGGAAATGGCTAATTCGGAGATAATTCAAATCCGGTAGATTTATCACCAGCACACTTTACTATTAACCACATATAATGTGCACCGGTTTGAGGCAGCCAAACAGAAAAGGCTGCAGGATTTATGCTGACGATCTGTTACAGGTACTTTACTTGACAAAGCATGTCACTTTAATAATTTTAACGCTCCTTTGTCCCACAAAAGGTAAATCTTTACATGTTACATATTACACTCCTAAGAGTGGAAAATTTACCCAAGAATTTTAAAACAGATAACAGTATTTTATAGTGTAAATGAACAGGCTAAAGTTCGTCCAAATAAAAGACAAGTACTACACACAATAGAATATGTACTGCAAGTAAGGCAAGTAAGGCTATGTGACGAATTAAAACTAAACTTAATCAGCGGAGAACTACCGATAGACCACAACTAAAGTGTACTTGCCGGAACAGGTTACAAAACCAGGAACAAAGTTCAAAATGATCAAGTGGAGATGCAACGAAACGCAAAAAATAGACTAGAAATAAGCTTAGTCTTGACAAATATACACACGCTAGATGTAATGCACGTGAGCAGGGGAAACAACAAGACCATGTTGAATGGTATTTAGCGAAACTATGATTACGATCGACAAAGACAGGCCACAGGAAGTGATTGGCATAAATTTTGACAGTTAGCAGTCAGAAAGGTCTGGTAAGACGTGATTATTACTGAATGGAACGTTGCTAATGATGCTAACGAATGCTTCCGACTAGGCACAGACAAGGTAAGCATGACAAAGTAAAACTGCAGGGGAGAGCAGCAATATGGGTAGTTCATTTAAAACTAGGGGTACACATAAGTAATAAGAAATTTAACGAAAGGCATCAATGTTGATAGCATATTTTCAGTTTCACAAATAAAAATCAACAACCAGCACTTAAATGTACCACAGTTCGTGTAAAGGGCTATAGGTTACCTAGATAAAATAACGAGTCAAGATTTTCGTAGACAAGTTGACTCAAACTTTATTATGAGGTATTTGGCTTAAATAGTGTTTTACGGAATCTTTGCAGGGTGCTTGGCGTGAACTAGTGCAGGCACTTGATGCAGGGTGGTAAAGTTTTACGTAAATGAGGCCGCATTGTACTTTCGTGGCCGCAAATATTATTTGAAGTGCTTTCGATGTAATAAAAAGGACTATAAATACAGCCAATTTATTACACCATCCTATTACGATGAATGCTGTTTTGCGAGAAACCTCAATTATAGCTTAAAAACAAGTGTCAAACAGAGAGAACACATGGAAGCAAATTTTCTCACGATTTCTGTGAAACAGGTACCGCCAAATGAATCAGAGCAATAATTGGATACACTAAAATGTTGAATTTATAAGCCTTATGTAGGCCGCTTAATGGACTTGGTCGCAGAAGACAAAACTGGACTGCTTACTTGCACGAAGCGGTCGCGGTACACCACCCACAAAGATAGTTTTTCGCGGGTCCAGTGTTTGAGATCCGTCCATGACAAAGTCAGAGTCAGCTAAATTCCACGGCCGAATTTGAACCTAATTAAAGAATGCAACAAGGCACTTGGGGAACAATACAAGCACGAGTGTGAAACTAGGTGGAACCTCACAACTGTTATGGGAAATAAGACCTGGGTGCTGTTGAGGAACATGCACAAGCAAAGTACGCTTTTACAGAATAAGTTAAAGTACTACAGCGCTTCGTCCAATTTCAAACTAAACTGTTGTAGAGGCAACCCGCAATATTACTCACTGCGGTGAATGCAAATGTGCGCCCAGGTTCTACAGTACAAGCGCAAACGGCCAATGTTTGATAGACAAGATCAGTTAGAAGCGATTTACATAGACGATAAATTACACGAGTGACGCTTCAATATCAAAAAATAAATGCAGAAAGTCATCTTAACATTACCAAAATAAATATCTGACACTCATAAAACGAAAACGTGATGCGAACTAAGCAAAATCAGGCGATATTTTTAACAGATAAATAAGGAACTTGGTAAAATGGGGCTCACAAGCACTCACAACTATATTTCACGGAGACTAGAAGATTGCAATAAACTAGGCTTAAAATTAGTGAATAGTTTACTATAAAGTCAGTAAAAGCAATTAAGATGTGTGCAAAATGTCCGAGGTAGCCTTAGTAAATCATAAAATCCAGTTTAGTGACCAACATAGCGCACAGTACTCAAAACGTTTTCCTTGAAACTAACAAGTCTATTGCATGGAAAGGCGACAAACAACTTTCATTTGGGCGCAAAAATGGATATACTTACGGGTTTATCCTTCATAGTAGGGGAGGAAACACACCAGTAATACTTCCCCTCATCTACAATACACGCGTTGATCAAATCCTGCACCGATTGCTCCTCTTGGAACAGAAGGAAGCAGTATCCTAAGTAAACAGAGATGCGTCAACCGACAAATGTGAGTTATGTTTTTATACGACAAGCATGAAAATCGCAATTAACAGTGGTCTGACTGCAGTCCTCCCACTGTAACCACAGACCGATGACTAAAACGATAAAAAATGGAAGCCGTCAAAGCTAATTTACATAAAAATTGATCCAAAAAGAGGCATGAAATAGCAAAAACCCCTAATATCAAAACATTATCGATTTGTAGATAAAGTTCAACAATATGGCGTTTTAACATACCTTTAGGCGGAAAATACGCCTTGCTCTCTGTTTTGTGTGGCCAGTCAACAATCAGTGCACCAAATCGACGGAAGGCGGTGGTTATTTCTTCTACGATTGAACGAACGAAAAACGCGCTGATTTACCAAATGTAGCGAAACACTTCATAAAAATAAAATGCGCATTACCTTCGTCAATGTCTGGAGGAAGGCCACCAACAAAAACCTTGCGTGAGTAGCCTTCTTCGCGTGGAGCCATGGCTGAGAGGCTTGAGTGTGCGTGACCCATGCCATGCAAGCCTTGGGCTTGCATGCTGCTTGGAGGTATTATGGCGGGTCTCGACTGCGACAAATTTGGCAATGAATGCAAGGTTCCGTGATAGTTGTCCATTGTAGGCATGTTAAGAGTTAAGTCATCCAGTAGACTAGATGGGGGGTTACCAGAAGAATCGATTGACTTCATCAGCTCTAGGAGATGTTGGTCAAAACCGTAGTTTGATCGGTAGTTGTCCGAACCGGAGAACTTCTCAGAATTTAAGCCATCCATATTGCCGGACATCAAACTATTTGGGATGGGTGTTACCCCAGAACCAGGTCCGGGAGGGCCAAACGTACTATGGGGTATCTTCTGATTCAATACATTTTCTTGACCTCCAAAGGGCGAGGGACCCGGCTGAGACGAGAAATCCGAATTGTGCTGTTTACTTAGAATTGATGATGGTGTCTGTTGCAAATGTTGTTGGTGATGTTGTTGTTGTTGCCAATGTGTCATCAACCTGTGAGGAGGTCGCTTGGGGAACATGCTATATAAAGATGCTGGGTTAGGTGGGTTCGTCCCTTTGGAAAAACCATTTGACCCCACATTTGAAAGGCCAGTGTTCATGCCAAATCTTACAAAATTTCCACTGGTATTCGTAGAAAATCCACTAGAAGTAAAATCACCGAAGTTCGGTTTGAACGGGGCTTGTTGTGAAGCAGTTGAGGACGCCCAAGGATAAGAATTACCACTGTGAGAGGAAAAATGACTCATCCATCCAGATGATTTTGACGACGACAGACCCGTTGCAGTCGATGGAGGACAAAATACGGATTGGTCTGGAGTAGAAGTGATGAAGTTAGACTCCAATGCATTTGTCGTAGGATTCCAACCAGGGGGTCTTGTCAGAGAAGGACGCATACTTTGGTGCCCACCTATTATTGCACGCTTTGCCGCAACGGCAACCGCAGCTGCTGGATTGGATTGAGAACCACTGGTGGTACATGTTGGTGCATTTGTGGACTGCTGAAAAAGGAGACTTGTCAACAACGGCAAATTATTTAGCGAAAGCGCTGATTGTGGGTTAATTTCTTCGGACTGGCCAGTTCCAGCGGCACTCCAATACGAAGCCGAACTACCACCAAGATGGTTATCACACGTCGATGGTGGGTTGTCGGTGTCTGCTAGTAACTGGCTTCGGGGGTTGGCCGATGAGTACGCACTATCAATTCCGGAACTAGATTCTGGAGTAGAGTGACTTTTGCTGTTTGTGCTAGTATTTATGGAATCACTGAGAAAATTGCAACTGTCGAATTTCTGTGCGGATTGACTACGTTCAAAAACAAACGGATTTGCATCACCTGTCATTGTGGAAAACGGCATATCCCGCGGTTTTACATTTACAGTGTTTAAAGACTGAAATGTAGTTGAAGCGCCATCTGTTTTCAACGACAGTGCTTTTAGTGATTCGATATTGCCTTCCATCGGATCAAGCGCAGATGAGTTCGTCGACGGATCATTACAATACAGGCTGCAAGATGCAATCTTGTTTTGCGGCACAGGATGGTCTCCCAACCCTTGCCGACAGAACCCGCTACTTGCATCAATATTTTGTTCCTCGTTTACGTCTCCACGACACGTTGATTTTGAACCGTTTGACTGAAAAGGGTTCGAGAAATCGAATACTGGTTTCGACGAATCGTCATTTGGTTCTTTAGGCCTCGTGCCGTCGACTCCAACATCGCATAACTGAGGTTTCGAATCTACCTCAAAGTCACCAGTCATCTAGAAATGTAACAACAAAACATAAACAGAAAAATCCATACATTTGTGAGAGAAAAAAATGACAACACGAACCTCAACTACACTTCCAGGACTAAGTAGAGGCTCTTTATAACTCATATGACGGGTTTAGCATACACACGGATTGTGCTTCTGACACTACCCTTAATAAAAATAGTAGCAGCAGAGTTGAAAGACGCGTAGCCAACTTGGTAGTCAACGCTAATGCCAGGTCATCACCATTGGCAATGTTTTCTAAAAATGCCGCAATTGTCTATAGCAAACATTTGAAAGAGAAAAACAAAATTGTTCAAAGGTCACGTTTACCAGTCAAGTTGGTTATTTATGTGAATACGGATATGCTTTAGCAAATTTTTTAGTTATAGTCGAAGTTAGTATTACAAATCTTGTACCATTTTTACATGTCTGACCGCTTCGATGAATGCTTGTGCAATTTATTCCTAATGACTTATACAATGCTATCAGTTTAAGTGCCCTTTATTTTTAAATTACACGCTATTGGATGCTGTTATATTACACTATTTTTCAAAATTGAGTAACTGGTACCAGGTAAATAGTTTTGTCTTGGCTGTGCGAAGTAGTCGCAACTTCTGTCACCGATTTCTAAATGCACCTTTTACAGCTTTGCAATGCAATAGAAAGGCTGTTTATGTAAATGATTACTATTAGCATCTGCAAATTTGTCTTTAAATCCTTTAATTGTTGTTAAAATCGATGCTCACTTAATGAGCCTCAAATAATCTCTGTGACAAATTACTGTGTTTCCTCAAAATGCTGCATTTGTGAAGTTTTGATTTATCACGATCCCAAACATAAAGCTTAGCTACGATTCTAGAATTGTGTGTTTGTAATGATGATTAGACTTTAATAATGCAAGGTTAAATGCACAAAATTACGCTTGTGCTTGAGCCTTGCACGACGACTGTGTAGAACTTCGACAATAACCTCCGGGCTCTTGTCATGTATATATATATATATATATATATATATATATATATATATATATATATACATGACAATTCATATATATATATAT